TTAAGATTTTATTTATTTGACAGAGAGAGACACAGTGAGAGAGGAAACACAAGCAGGGGGAGTGGGAGAGGGAGAAGCAGGCTCCCCGCTGAGCAGAGAGCCCAATGTGGTGCTCGATCCCAGGACCCTGGGACCATGACCTGAGCCGAAGGCAGACACTTAACGACTGAGCCACCCAGGCGCCCCAAACATGTATATTTCTAATTTTACTTCCCAGTAGCCATCACTTTTTAGTCCTAGGAATTAGTGCTAAATATATTCAGTTTTTCAATTTCACCAGTAATTTTTCTTTTTTAAAGATTTTATTTATTTATTTGAGAGAGAGCATGAGAGAGGGGAGGGTCAGAGGGAGAAGCAGACTCCCTGCCGAGCAGGGAGCCCGATGCGGGACTCCAGGATCATGACCTGAGCCGAAGGCAGTTGCCCAACCAACTGAGCCACCCAGGCGCCCTCAATTTCACCAGTAATATTGAGAATAAACAGTCTTGTAGAGTTTTGGGTGCCTGGGTGGCTCACTCGGTTAAGTATCTGCCTTTGGCTTAGGTCATGGTCTCAGGGTCCTGGGATCAAGTCCCACATTGGGCTCCCTGCTCAGCAGGGAGTCTGCTTCTCCCTCTCCCTCTGCCTCTCCGCCCCACTCATGCTCTCTCTCTCTCTCAAATGAATAAATAAAATCTTTTAAAAAAAAATCTTGTAGAGTTTCAGTAATTGTTCCCCTAATCATGTTCATTATAAATGAAAGTGGACAAGAAGTAAAAGAAATGTGAAAGAATCTAGGTTACGTCAGTGCATTTCTGATTGAGTTAAAATAAGCATGTTGGTTTCTTTTGAAACAGGATGTCTCGGGCTGTTCATCTTCCAGTTCCCTGTCCCGTTCAGCTTGGTTCCTTAAGAAATGACTCCTTGGAAGCTCAGCTGCATGAGTATGTCAAACAAGGGAACTATGTGAAAGTGAAGAAGATTCTTAAGAAAGGTAAGCACTGTGTTAAAATTACAGGTGCAGCTTGATTCATATTTCTGAATAGTGTTAGAAGGAAAATCAGGTACATCATAAAGCTATGAGTTCTTGGGGAAATTGAAAGTTAAATCTGAAATGAGATGTTCCCTACCAGTGCAGTCAAATTGCTCAATAGAGGTCTTAAATTGTTGTTTGGAGACTGTTTTGTTTTGTGCTAGGGAACCGTAAGGTTTTCCAACTGTTAGACTCCTAAGATTTCTCTTCAGGCCTCAGCCACCCACCTTTAATTCTGCCTGATTCCCTTTTCTCCTTTAATCTACACCATCTACTGAGTCTTCCAAAGCCTGTGGTGGAGTGAAGAGACCAGCTTTCACAGCTCTCCCCTTCTTTGCTCCTCCCAGGACTTGGTGCTTTTGTTTCCAGTTGTTTTTTTTGTTTTGTTTTGTTTTTGCTGGGTGTTACAGGCAGCTCAGCCTACAAGGCAGATGGAAATAGCAAATGTAGCTCAAGCAGTCTTCAAAAGAACAAACACTAAACCATACGTGGACAAGACTTCTGCTGGTATTTGGCCCTTGATCTACAGATCTAGACCTGCCTGTTTTTTTTTAGAGTAACCAGAAGTCCTGCTGAATTCCCCCTCTCCCTTCTTAGTATAAAGAGAGGTTTATGAAGCTTCTCTCAGCTGTTTGTGAAACAGTCAGGGTGACCTAATTTCTCTGCAGTATTTCTCCATTTACTTCAGCAGCATTCCTGAGGACTTCCGGAAGGGTAACTCCAATTTTTGCAGGATCCAACTATCCCACAAAATAATTCACTCAGAAAGTTCTCAAATGTTTCCATGTACCGCCTCTAGAGTCTATAGATGAAGTAGCTGATAGTGAGTTCAATAACTTATTTGAAAGGTCCTACTGGTTTTTTCCCCCTCAAAATTTTGCATTTTATTCCATAACACATTCATGTGTGTATTAACATGAAAATGGATGTTCAGCATAGGTATGCTGTGACTTCTAGTGTCTTCTATCCACACTCTCCCAGTGTGAAAAGCAGAGTATTAGAACATTTATTGTATCTTAGACATCTGAACATTCTGCATCTTCAAATTCTTACCATTAGCAGGGGATGGGGTTGACAGGTTTAACTGGATATGAAGCAGGATTTCATCTGTGTCTGGGAATTTCATCTAAAGCCTCAGAGTGGAGAACAAGGGGTGACAAGGTGAGAAGTCCCCCGACAGTCTAAAGCAGGCCTTCTTAGGAGATGGCCAAAATGGTCCTTGGACCTTTAATTCCATCATCTACATTCGGCCTATCTAGGAGAAGGCAATGGGGTAGTGGTGGGGGTGTCAGTGGAAAAGATTCTCTAAAAGGCATTCTAGGAATAGAAAGCTGTGGAGTACCTGGGTGGCTCAGTCAGTTAGACGCCTGCCTTTGGCTCAGGTCATGATCCCGGAGTCCCAGGATCAAGCCCCACGTCGGGCTCCCTGCTCAGTGGGGAGTCTGCTTCTCCCTCTCCCGCTCCCCCTACTTGTGCTCTCTCTCTCTCTGTCAAATAAATAAATAAATAAATCTTAAAAAAAAAAAAAAGGGGAAGAAAAAGCTGTGGCTTTTCCCCTCCTTCCCAGCTTCAAGCCAAATAAGAGGTCCTTCAGGTGAACCTCATGGAAAGAATTATAGCACTTGCAAGCAGGATAGTTGGGAGCCTGTGTCTCAGCCTGCTGAACAGTAGAAATGTCAGCGCACTCCAGCTGCCACCAAGGTGGTATGAAGAGAACCTGGCATGTTACCTGGAATTTAGGGGTCAGGAAGACTGCCATCTACCTCCTTCCTAAAGCAGCCCTTGATGAATTAATAAACATGAGAGACCAGCTTGATAAACATGAGAGACCAGCAGTTGGATTAGCTACACATTTCTACCACTTAGTGGGATAAGTAGACTCTATAGAGGGTAGCTGAGCCATCTAAAGGACTCATCTATGGAGGCAGGAAGAATCCCAACAGAGGCTGGAGAAACAGCAAGAAGTCAGCAGGAGAGGGCACTGGCCCGCATTAGGGTACTGTGAGGTGGAGTGGAGTTACCTGAAGGGCCACTAACCCCTCCCACAGAAGAGCAGGCATTAGGAAGAGGCCAAAAGCTACAAAGAGGATCAGCTACATTTGAAGGCCTTGCCACTTGTCATCTCGTTGGTCCTCCCCCTCCAGCTCTGAAGTTGCCAGAAACAGCCTTGAAATCAGAGGAGTGGAAGAGCAAGGAAGAGGTTTTGATTTCAACAGGACTGGACAATTACCTGAAATGAGACTGCACTTGAAGGCCTCAAAGTGACTTAAAGACTATGGAATCTGCCTGAGATGCCTCTCTGGAGAGGGAAAGGGAGAGCCAAGCAAAAGAGTGTACCTGAGGGCATTGTAAAAGGGGAAAAAATGTTTCCTGATTGTATCCTACTTATTTTAGTTATATAGATTATGAGTTCTAAAACCGAAAAGATGAGTGCCTGAGTTCCAGAACCTCAACCCAGAGTTTATTCATTTTTTATCACATGTAGATTAATATTAATTAATCTAACCTGGGGTTAGAACACCAAGGACAGGGGCGCCTGGGTGGCTCAGTAGTTAAGTGTCTGCCTTCAGCTCAGGTCATGATCTCAGGGTCCTGGGATTGAGCCCTGCGTCAGGTTCCCTGCCCGGCGGGAGGCCTGCTTCTCCCTCTCTCTCTGCCTGCTGCTCCCCCTGCTTGTGCTCTCTCTCTGTCAAATAAATAAATAAAATCTTAAAAAAAAAATACCAAAGACAGATATGTGGCCTTGCATTCCAGGAGTATAATCCAGCAGAAGAAGCAGACATAAATAATTAAAGTACTAAGAAGGGCAGGAGGCAAAGAAGTACCTATTTCTCAGCCTCCTTGTCTGGGTAGTAATCAAGGGAAACCTATTAGAGGAAGCTATATTTAGGCCAGGAAGTTAACAAAGAAAAAGAGTTGAGTTGGGGGTGCCTGGCAGGCTGTTAGTGGAGCACTTGACTCTTGATTTCAGGGTTTTGAGTTCAAGCCCCACACTGGGTGTAGAGATTACTTAAAAAAATAAAATCTTTGGGGGCGCCTGGATGGCTCAGTCGTTAAGCGTCTGCCTTCGGCTCAGGTCATGATCCCAGGGTCCTGGGATCGAGCCCCACATTGGGCTCCCCGCTTGGTGGGAAGCCTGCTTCTCCCTCTCCCACTCCCCCTGCTTGTGTCCCTCTCTCGCTGTGTCTCTCTCTGTCAAATACATAAAATCTTTTAATAAAATCTTTTTAAAAATTGAATGTGGTGGAGTGATAGACCCACATGCAGTTGGAGAGTCTGCTCTCAAGAGGCATGGCATGGATGTTGAGGGGTTCCTAGAAACGTTAGAGGAATGGGGAATGGAAAAGTGTTAGATATGGAAGGGACCAGACCAGAGATAGGCTCTTGGGTAAAAGTGATTGGAAGGCACTTTATAACTTCAGATATAAGAAACTGAGGATATGTCTCAGACTTTGGCAGATTGCCCAAACACTGTCCCTTTCTGGTGGAATTTAAGTACAGAGCATTTGACTGTCTGTCTCTGAGAAGAGTCAATTAGAAGTGTTTAGATGAGATGAACCTGATGTGTTTTAGTCATGTTACTACGAAGCACTGAAAAATGTGGTTGATTCAGAAAACCATGTGCATGTCCACGTGGCACTGTGCTTCCTGGCATCCTGGAAGATGTGGGGCAGAAGTATTTTTACAAGAGTTAAGTGATGAAAACAGTTACACACTTCATAAGGTGTGTTCTTTGAGGAGAAACTAGGATTAACTTTTGCCACAGGTAAAGGGGTAGGCTCCTTCTGAGATTTACAAGCCAGGAAGGTGAAACATTAAGGACTGAACTTTAAGTGATGATGTATTGAGTGCTTTATTAGAGAAATTAATTTGATTGGAGACTAGACCTCCTGAGGACGACCACTGTGGCTTACCAGAAAGAAGCCGGACTTGATTTAGTACCAGACATACCTAGGTTTCCCCAGCTGTGTGAAGAGATGCATCTGTAAGAATGAGGAAGTAAAGACACCCGTCTTCAGTTGTTTAGAGGATGAAATGAAACAACGGATTAAAATGCCTGTCATCAAGTAGGTATTCAGTAAATCATCATGGTTATGATGATTATTATGTGGTATAAGAAGTGTACACCAGGTCTTACCTGTCTCTCTCTTTGCCTCCTCCTCCCGCCTCTCTTTCAAGGTAAGGAAAACCTAGTCTCTTCAAGTCAGCGGACTTTGGTAGCAAGCGAGAGGCAGTCCAACGCTGACCAGGGGCGTCAACAGCGTTTTCTTAGCCTATAGTGGGGTGGCGTGACCCGACCAGGACCCAGGCCATGCAGGGTGCGGTGGGCGGGGCAATACAGGTCCCTCCGGGGTGGAGTCAGGTATACAGCGTGTGATTGGCTGCTAGGAAGCCGCATGCTAATGAGGCTTGTTACTGATTTAAGTGTTGCTGGAAGATTAACAGGCGAAAAAATAGTGTTTTGAACTTTGCCATTTGACCAAATTGTTATGAAATATAAAACAAAATGTACGTGATTAGGCAGATGAGTTGACAAAAATGTCGCCATGACTAAAAAGTGTGCGGCTGCCATAGACCTAGCCGAGGCCGCAAGTTCAAGGTTAAGACTATACTTTCAGGGATCATTTCTATAGTTTGTTACTGGAGAAGTTTCTCTGAACGTGTAGAGTACCCGAAACCACGAGGAGGAGGCAGAGTATCCCTTTCTGAGCGTGAAGTGGGCTTTGGGTATTGCTTTTGTAGCTGCCCTTTGTCTTTGATGATCGTTCTTCTTCTCTTTTGGAGAAGTTAGAGGAAAGGGATGCTGTCTGAGTGGTTTCTCTACAACTTCTTTATTCAGTTTAAAATTGGGTTTGTAATTGTTAGTATTTTTGGGTGGTGTACTAGGCTAATGTATGTTTGTTTTAGTGTTTTGGAGGTTTTACAATTTTTGTTTTTGATTATGTGGTGGGAAGTTTTAGGAACGCTGGTTTTTCGGAGGTTGATTTTTGTCTCTTTTTCTTCGTTTTGTTATTTGTTTCATTTTAAGAGTGCGCGCGAAAGCTGGCGCAAGCGTAGTGGGTAGGGGTAGAGGTAAGAAGGCTCACCCACAAGTAACAATTTTACGCCCAACTTGTTGACCCACTTCCGTGTCTCTTGATTGTATTTTATATGTAAATTGTTTTTCTCCATCTTTAGTGCACTCCACCTTATATACCAGAACTTTCTTTAGTCAGATATTGAACCTTCTAAATTAATGCTTGGAGTTCTCTTTTTCTAAGACTTTATTTATTTATTTTAAAAAAGATTTTATTTATTTATTTGAGAGAGAGCATGAG